GGGACAGCGGGGACACACAGAAGAGCAACAGGTTCACCCGCTGAAGCTGTCAGGGATACACCAGAAAGTAGCCAGGCTCAATCATCTCTCCTATTAAAAGAAACAAGGAACCTCTTTTCCACCCTCATCGATCTAAGACCTGGTTGCRATGCCCTGGCTCCTCCCTGGAGAGCACTGCTCCCTAGGGAAGCGAGCACCACGAGGCAGCCCCTGGCAGCACCAGCCCAGCGCGGGGACGCGCGCTGCCCTTCGCCAGCCTGCTCCGGAGTCAGCAGAGGCTGCACAAGCAGAAACCTTGCATGAAATYGCCTCTCCAGGCTGCTCCGGCTGCACATCTCCAACACCAAAAACACCCCACAGGAACCGGCTCGTGCACCCCCACGCCAACACCTCCCGCACCTACCTCCTTCCTGCCACCAAATCCCCACCAGCAGGAGGAAAATGTTAAATCTTCCCTTCAGGTGTATTTGGATCTTTCCCACAAGCAGCTCTGTTGGCAGTGCCAATATGTCCACGGTCCCTAAAAGACTTTTGTTGGACCTACACAATTTTATARCTCAGACCAGTTTCCCGATGTTCCTCTTCTTGCCCTTCCTAAGTGTCTCATCCACAGAGCTCGAGTCCTTCCTTGATCTTCCATGTTTTTCCCACTCGTTCTCCCCCTTCCCGCTACTCCARTCTCTTCTATCCAACATTTCTCCTCCTTCTATTCAGCCACACCAGCAGCCTCATTCCCCGTGTCAATATGGAGTCATTTAAGTGCTGCTCATTCACTTTTACATCATGAAATCGAAATCTTGACTAACCAGGTTAGCCTGAACTCAGAATATCTTCTCACAGTCTTTGTTCCCAGCCTTATTCTCTGCCTGATGAGGAAACTTCTAGATGTTGAACCTAAGCGTTTGTGCAATACARAGGATTTTGAATGGAGAAAATATCTTTGACATCACTGGCTAATTATAATTTGCTATGCTAAAATATGGCTTTGGCTATACCGTAGAGCTATACCGTAGAGCAGGATAAAAGTGTGCACGTATCTTCCTGTGTGCTTCAATATCCTCCTATTGACAGAAGATAGGATGACTGGGCTATGACTGGAGACCAGGAAATTATTTTTGTGATTTCATTAGAGCAATTGACAACAGCGTTTCCTTTCTGTGGAAGGTTAACAGATGGCTTGTTCATGTTGCTACTTCTTTAAATAGGGTTGTCGCCAAAAATGATGCCCATGACAACAAAAAAAATATTGACATAAGCTCATTGCAAAATTAAAACAGGGCTCACGTAATCTAAAGCACAATGCTGCCATCACTGCGACGCGGAAGAGTGTCAAGCTGCGTTTGCTTTTCTGAGGTTTCCTTGGTAGTTGGATGGARGGACATCCATTTTTGGAGAGCCAACGACACGGGACTTGCGCTATTACGTGAACGAACCTGTAGTCAGTCAGTTGCCATGCCTACTTCCCTCTCGGACACGGATATAAGATGGTGTTATATCCAGACTGGGATTTTCATCATAACCATAACAGAATGTATTTCTCATCTTGGGCAAATATGGTTTCATATAAAACTGCTCGAGTGATTCAGAACTGCAGATTGCTAGTGGTAGTGGTGGGTTTTACAGCACGAGCAAGACTCAGTTCTCATCAGACACAGACACAGGCGTCCTGTGGGGCCCTTCCCCAGGAAACCAAGCGGGTTTAGCCAAAGGGGCAGCACGCTGTGCTGTGTTCTGCTGGCCTCACCTCACACCCGTGCCCACCACGAGCATCTCCCGCCCTCCAGGGCTCTGTTTCCAGGTCTCACCTCCGGCTGCAAGGCACACAAATGGCCTTAGCGCTACCTCCAAGCGGCTCTGCTCCCCATGCCCCTGCCAGCCGTCCGAGCGCGCGGAGACGGGGCAGCCCTGGCCCACTCGCTGGCCCTGGCGCCCAGGCTTCACCTGGGTGGACCTGGCTCTTTTCCATGTGATCAAGATATCTACAAAGAACAACCAGTTTTGAGAATAGAGATCGGAATCTACTTGGTACTTAATATGTGACAGCACATTAGTTTTTCTATACAGASAGACAAAATTAATATATTTTTAAATATTTTTAAACATTTGTACTTATATTTATATTTTCCTTCAGTATTACAACTACCTTTTCCTCCTTTTTCTGTTATTTTCTCAGGTATCCCTTCTACACTTCTTTTCTTTCTCTGGTATTACTGTCTTAATTCTATAGGCTCTTCATCACATCCTCCTTCCCTCATCTTTTCAAGCTATTTGTTTACATTAGCCTGTATATAAAATTAAGCTCTCCAATTTTTCTGTTATTAAAACTTTCAGCTAACTGAGAGTGAGAAAAACTGAGCGAGAAAGAGCACAACAAAACAAGCAGGCAAGCCAGAAAGAGAATAGAAGAAAGAAAAAAAGAGTGAGAAAGCAAGAGRGAAAGAGCAAAAAGCAGCAAGCAAAATTAAGACAACATGAAAGAAACAGAAAAAAGTCAATGGATTTTCCCCAGGGTTTCTCACTTCACTTTGCTCCCTAACAACTCCAAAGGGCAGCTTTTGTCTTACAGCTTTTATTTAACACGCAGAGCTGAAATCTGCTCTAGCAAAGAGGTAAACCATATAACCAGGCAGGGAAACTAAAGGAGGACAAGTAACAGTTTTCAGCATTGCAAACCCTCTGTGGACAGCTGTTTGCAGCAGCCTGGTTTATTTTCCAGCGTTGGGATGCCAGGTTTGCTCAGCGCACGCCTGGTCAGCCGCGAACAGCAGGCACACCGGCAGGGACGGGTGCCCGCGCGCCCGGCGCCGGAGGGAGCACCCAGCCACTCGCTGCTCGTGATTGCCTTCACCCACCTGAAACATTTTTGAGAAATTGTATAACAAAACAGCAGCCTGGGCCGTGCCCCAGCTTCCTCCTTTCTCAGGCAGAACATGTTGATTTTATCATCGTCTAGAACAAAAAAAAAAAAAAAAAAANAAAAAAAAAAAAAAAAAAAAAAGGTAAGCAAACAGCATTATGAAGAAAAAACATAGAATTTATCTTTTGGTGAGAGCAAAGAAAATACTGAAGAAATAAACAAATTAAAAATCAGTATCTTTTCACCCCAATGTCACAAACCATGAAGACGACGGACTTGCCAATAAAGATTTAAAATATTTTGTGTTTAGGGTGACTGTATTGGTCATTATTTGTGATGTGCCCTCTTAGATCACTACAGCAATTATAATAAAATATGAACTAAAACATAATACAGAAAATTGAGAAAGCAGAAGCAACCTGASCATGGAGAAGTGGGGCAGAGAACCTCTCAGCCCACTGCTTCACGGTTTAGTTTACCTGAAGTTAAAAGTCTGTGGCACAAATACGCAGCAGGCATTACGATACCAACAGTAAACACCTCCTCACAACAGCAGAGCACAGATTAAGCATTCAAGTATCACTCTTTTGCCCTACATCCCAAGTTTCCTTGGTTTTGTGGGGCTTTACCTCATCAGAAAAAAGCTGCTATGTACAGTGAAAATGCTGATCTTGCAAAAACAGGAATCAAAATAATACTGAAATCATATCTTTGATTTATATTATTATGCAGAGCTATTAATCCTAAATTAAAGCATGCCCTTTTGGTTCAATTTCTGCCTCTAGGCAGAATTGCTGTTCCCATCTGATTAGAATTCAACTCCTCTTCTGCTTGATTTCTCTTTCTGCGCAGTTATTCCTGTGCAGTTTCTACCATGCAGGTGCCACAYGTCACAGTTCACCTGCAGCTCTGTCCAAGCAGGACTGGCCGCGATTGCTGGGCTCCAACGCGGGTGGCTCGTTCAGGGCCCTGCCCAGGGCAGGGACAAACCCTTCTCCTTTCTCCCAGAGCAGGTTAGGGAACGAACCCGCTTCTACAGAGAGGGGCCTTCCGAAACATCCAGCCTGGACACAGCTACTTTGGCAGGCAGCTGGATAAAGTGTGGAGACGAAATACCCTGCAGAGCTTAAACAGACACATGTTGAAGAAAGAATGAGCAAAGGGAGATCCCTGCTGGCAAGACCACGCAGTGCAGGGGCACCACTGCCCAGCTCATCCACCAAAAATGGGCTATGGCAAAGGCAAGTCCAAGACACTTCTGACTGCCCCAAATGCCTCGCATTTCCCTCACACTGGATTCGTCCCCAGGCTCTCGCTGTCCTGCTCGTGCAGCCCACACTGCACGTGAAGAGCTGGGGCAAAAGGGGAACTCAGCCTCACTCCTTCGTGTTCACGAAGGACCAAAATTCCTAACATATTTCAATTACTGTCTGCTGAAACAAGGCTGACCGACCCCTTTTTGCAGATGCTTCTGTTGCAGCAAAGAGAGAAGATGGGGCTGAGCTCTTTACTCATTGCTTGAAATCTTTTTTTTTTTCTGCTGCACGGTAAGTATGAGGTATCATCCAACTTAAGGCAATAATAATTTCAGAGAAATGCTGCATTATCTCATTCCCTGGGATTAGTAAAACCACAGTTAACAATTAATCAGCCAGTACGGACAACTGCGTCTTGACAGAGAGAAGGAAGCAAACAAAATAACCTTTTTGCACATTAAATAAGCACTGGAAAACAGCAAATCAGAAGTGCAAACCAGAAACAACACAACTTTAGTAGTCTACTATAAAAGATATTTATGGTCCACCCTGAAACAAGCTAAGTTCAGAAAAATGTAACAACCAAATGACAGAGATATTAACTTCCAAACCATAAAAAAGGCTAAGCAAGGAAAGCAAGAGACACTTCAAAATAACACCCAATAAAGGAAACACACTACAGGACATTGACATTAAGAAGTGGTTCAATTTTGCTCTTACAAACAGCTACTCACAATTCCAGTGGCTTTAAACATAAAATTTAATTGACACTTAAAATGAAGAAAAGCATACTTTTTTTTTAAAGAAACTTTATTACAAATCCATAGGTTTAAGAAAAATATCCAAAAACTGTCAAAGTAGTATGAAAATGCTGTCATCCTATTCACAGTTACCAGTTTTCTCCAATAACCGTAGCATACAAAAATTCATAGAAATCATTGCAATTCTTTTTGATGATACAAGTCATATTTCTAAAACTAAGTCCCCTGCCAACAACTAGGAGGCTGCTGGCAGCCCAAGGGAAGGATTAATTTGAAAKGTAGAAGTTTGGATGCAAAGGCTATATACATATCCTGCATCTTAGCACATGCACACGTAACTCAGGGAGAACAAAACCTGGCCCAGCACAGTAATTAAAGTCTCTAAAATCCTGGATTAGCGGGGGAATGTGTATGTTATTCAGTTATTCGGTGTGCTCTGGCTCCCATTTTCCTTTACATCTCAAATATAGTAAAGACCAACTGTTTTCCTAACTAATTTATAGACTTGTCACTTGCTGAGAATTTTTAGCACACATGAATGAGAAAAGAATTCTCAGATAGACGTTAGATTCCTGAACTGAAGCAGACAGCACTTAGACAAAGGAGAAAGCTTGCAAGTAAGGCAAGGATTAAATTTAAGCCTGCTCTGCAAGCCTAACTCTGGGCAACAGGGTGCAGGAGGTGCAAGATGAGTAACCGACCGTCCATAATGATATTTTCACACCCATTTCAACTGCATAGGCCCTGGATTCTAYGACTCAGAGCTGCAGGCAGAAGAGGTTTTAAAACAAATGTAAAGACTTTAAAAGAGCAGGATGAAACGTTTCTGTTACAATATTTGCACAGAGTAGGGACAGGACCTAAAAGAAAACAAGCTGCTCTGCTGTGTTTTTATCGGGTGCCTGAAGACAACGATGACCTGTTAATCAGAGGACATTTGAGGTTTCCCACAGATCAATCCTCTTTCCACCGAGAAAGATTTGAAAAAGGCCAGTATTCCTGTAAAACACTCATATACTCAGTGCATTTCATCTATTCACTGTTCCAACGTAAGTTGAAAAGCGCAGGATCAAGAGTCAATCAAATAGGGCTACTCTGTAGAAGAGGAGCTAGAAATTAACAGTCTCTCATCACCACAGCAAACAGGAAGAGGCAAAACTAAACTTAGAATAATATCCTTCCCCATGCAGACCAGACTAACCCAAAATTAATCTGGGCTACCTAGAACAAATCTTAAAAGCCATCTATTGGTAAGAATATTGCCTTACTCTTCTGCACTTACTGAAATCTGACTTCTAAAACACAGTAAAGAAACAGTCAAAAATCTTCATTCCAAAGACGGAAAATATTTCATGTATGTTCTTAGGTGTGGACCTTCAGGCTCGGGAAACGTTTTTCTAGATTGTCAGCAAGTGTCTGATCAGCTTCACGCAATACCTCAAGGAAGCTCTCCACCTGCAAAGAAATTGCAAATACAGAAAACACTTAACACGGAAYACAGTTCTTATGTGGAACTTAGCCTAAAGGTTTTTCCACTCTTGCATTTTTCCCACCAAGAGTAGCCAGGAATGGCCAGTGTACAGAACGGTGGAAAATGCTCTGTGTTAGATGCTACCCTCCTAAACCCTATAATTCCAGCTGACCTCAGGTGTGAAACATGCTATTTATTGCCTTACCAAAAYTATTATCATCTAAAAATGCACACAAGATTCCTATGAAACATGATTATAACCTTTCTATAAGGCTGCAGTGGACAAATACTCAGCTAGTATGAGTTTGCAAACCTTCACCCATCTCAGCACAGTTTGGCCTCTGTATCAGCCAACGGTCTATGGAAAGTTCTGGCTAAAGTAAACCAGAAAAGGGAGAAAATCCATTTGCCTAATACTGCATGTTATCTACTTACAAGCCACTTTGCCCTGTGTTTGTCATCTGCTTATGCAAGGTCATGCCATCAAAGCAGTATTTTTCTCAGCTACATTAAAGACTTTGTCATATACTCACCGATGTGAAATACAGAGGCAAGAGGTTCTGAAATGCACAGGAACATGTCTGTTCATTCAAATGTCCCTGGTTTAAACCTTCTAATATATTYTCCTGGAAAATTAGAAGATGAGAAATGCAACTAGAAGGACAAATTCTCCATTGTGTACACAGTACGTACTCTGCTCTCACAAGTGGGTAGAATCACCACGAACAAAACTTAACAGTTCTATGACAGTAACAGGCATAACTAGTACAAAAAGGTGCAAAAACAGTGCCCTAATCTTAATATTCCCATAATAAATAAGTTCAGCTAAAAAAAGAAATAATATAATGCAGGGGTTGACATTCTTTCCTGAAGTAAACGGATTTCCACTCAAGCGAAATGAGCAACATACACCTAGAGAACTTGCCATATGGAAACTCAGCCCTGAGGGCACACACCTCAGAACATCCCTCTCTTCTAATACACATGGCACTATGGGCCTGCCCGTCAATTCTCTGCTCAGTTTCCCATAAGGAATATATGCAACTAGCACAAGAAGGGAAAAAAGAACACAGAAAAAAAACACTCCCTTAAGAGTAATATTTTCTTACCTACCCTGCAAAAATCCATCATCAAAGCTTATCTTTACCTTGGTTAACTCTTGAATCATATTAGAAAGTAATTCACAGCAGATATCCTTCAAAATTTTCAAATGGAAATCTTCCTCATGTACTTCTGCCTTCCCAGTTTCATCTTCTTTAGATTTCTTCATGTCATCCTCGGACCTCTTCCCACAGTCTTCCATGTTTTGTAAGATACGAATCAAGCTCCCAATCAGAGGCATATCTAATATGCAGTAATAACAAACTTTTAATACATAAGAAAGTTTTATACAAGGATGTAGGTATATATATACACTAACACTGTTGTCTTTATATTAACCAAAGACTGCTTTAAAAAGGCAAGTGAAAACATAAAAACAGCAGCATCMCCACACTCTTTATGGCAAGCTAACATGTATTTATAAAAATTTCATACCAGTGGTAAGAAACACRAGGAGAATGTCTCTGGTAGCGGCACAGAGCAAGCACAATTCTTTCCAGAGTCCCGTGGAGCACTAACACTGACCCACAATCTCTGGAAAGCCTTTAAATTCTAAAGACTGCCCACAAGATCAAAAAAGTGATGAGTTTAACTGCCATATTTCCTTCTCTGAGGATAGCCACTACCAAGACCTCATATCTTCGCAAAGACAACCTATGTAATTTATGTAAACTGCACTCCGTGCTGAGGGGACTGAACACAGCCTGTAGATACTATTAGCCTAACTCTTCACATCCGGACTTGGAATCTGCTGTGATTTTTAGGATGAACACTAATGAACCTTACAGCATTCAAGCATCTACCTGATTTTTGTGTTCTAAACTGACAGCTAGTAAACAGTAATACATGAACTATCTTTCACCCCATATGCATAAATTCAGTGGTAAAAACAGCTTAAAAAAAAAAAAAAAAAGAAAGAAAAAAGCATAACTTGCCTTTCCTCATCTTGATGTATTCTTGTTCAGTCTGTGAAGCAAACATAGCAGACAATACAGACAGAATAGAGGCCAAGAGAGTTTTCTGCTCTTGAACAATGATTGCAGGATCGTCTGGCTGGCAGAGTTCATGGCAAATTAGGTCATAAAGAAGATTCCAAGTCTCCTTTCCTCCATCAGGAGCCTGCACTTGAGAAGGAAAAGAAAATAAAAAATAAAACGCACACACACACAAACCCAACAAATTTCATCTAGGCCCTTCCCTCCCACCCCAATTAAAGCATGATCAGCATGATCTTTGGCTATGCTTTATATCTTATATCTAAAAGTTAGTGCCATTCTTGATTCCACATGCTACAAGCTAAGTATCTTACCAATAGCCTGAATGCCCTCATCCACCGTGGTTAGGAGCTGCAAGATATGCATGTAGACATCAAGTCCTYCTGGATTATCAGAGCTAAAAAGAACAAAAACCAGAGCCAAATTAAAGACCCATTTACTGAAAAGTGTGTATTTCCAATTTGTCTCAGATCCTAAACAGACCATCCTAAACAGTGTCCTTTATTTATATGTTAATTGGCTAGTTTCAAATGATAAGTAGAGGCCCATGTACTTTAGCCATCTGGTACACTATATAGCTCCCACCGAAAACAAATTTTTAAGATACGGTTCTTAATAAGGTTTTGAGGGGTCTCCCCAGCCATGAAACTGAAAGAAAAGCTCACATACCGGACTTGCTTGGCTGCTTCAAGTATACAAGGCACAATCTTAAAATCTGGAAGTTCTTCGGGGGAGTCATCTACAGAGGGTCCCACGGACTGACAAGAACCGTTTTTAATCCAGGTCAACATGAGCTCTTCATCTAGATCGAAGAGTTTGTCCACCACTTCACCCACTTTTACCAGCAAGTCAACTGCATAATAAAGAATATATGGAATTCAAGAGCAGAAAAAAAAAAAGGAGCAAAGAATGAGCTCACAAAATGCTAACATACAAAAGCATTTAGAGTTAATACAATGCTGAATCTCATGATCTACTGATGGTTACCAGGCTTAAYTTGGTTTTGTGGCAAAAACAGGGTCCTGAGTTTGATAAACGCAGATTGTTGGAAAGCTCAACATCACCTTTTCTTTTCTCATGGCATTTACAAAGTAGGAACTTTGTTCTGCAAAGAGAGTTTGAGCTTGGAGGCCCTCAGAAGTAATAAATGCAGCTTTCGAAATTATAACCCCAACTGTTTGTCCCTACATATGAGCAGTTTTCTGTTAACCTTTCACCTATGTATCAGCAAATAAGTAAACAGAGCTGTGATTTCAATTGGTCTGCGTGTGGTGTCTGTGTATTACCTTTTTTAAAAAAAAAAAAACAAAAAAAAAACAGTAGAGCTGTTGAATTCTTCAAATTCCAAAAGCTTAATTATCAGGAACTTCTTTACAAGTGATTATTGCTATTACAATTCCGCCTTGCAAAATAAATGCCRTTCAAAATGTTTCCAGCATTTGTTGTTTAATGAGCATTTTCCTAGACTAGTGCTATTAAGAGACTGAAGTATTACTGACTGCATATCTAACTGTAAGTAATACCCTACTGCCCAAGTAACAGAGCCTTTCTAACACTCAGCATTCCTAAACTATAGTAGTAGTGTTTATAATAGGAGTATACTGTAGTGACATATCTCTTAATAAGGACTATGTCCTTTCCCATAATGTGCCAAATTCAATTTTCTCCATTAAACTTTGTTTTAATCTGCCACAAAGTCTTTTTTCACTCATCTATGTACTTTTGGTTGTGGTTGAATTTATTTACATCAGTAAACCCCGCAAAGCAATCTGAATTTGTTGCAGTTTCCTTTAAATTTACCAGGTTCATTTGATTATAGTGAAATTTTGCACTGAAAATACTTGCCTTTGAAATTGCACACTTCAGTGATTACTTTTTTTTTCCCCCCCGCAAACATTTTTTCCCTGCAAACATTCCCTAATTTGCCACTTGATACAGTAACTTACCATTTGTGGAGCTTGACATGATAAAGCAGACACAGTCGTAGACAGAAGGGTTTTCTCGGATTCTCTCAACCCAGATGTTGGCCACCTCAGGTTGGGAGAGGCAAGTTAACAGCAACCTGGATGAGAATTGCCCATTTAAAAGCAAATTATTGGTTTCTAAACTGTTCACTAAGCCACCCTGAATCCAAAATAATTACAGTGATGTGACAGAGACAGAAACACAGCTCAAGGCAAATCATTTCCAGAAAATCATGGAAATGACAACGGCATAGGATGGGAAAATATTAACCTGTCTACCTGTAAGTGCTCTTCATAGAACTTTATTAATTAGTGATACATTAATTACTTAAGAAGCATTACCTGTTTGTTTCTAGAAGAGTTGGAGAATCTGAATCACACAAACGTTGCAATAACACTTGGCTGTAAGCAGAAAAATAGACAGTTTTAATAAAAAAAAAAAAATAACTTTGTGAAAAAAGACTGTAATGGGCTAATTCTATAGCTGTAGCTGTATTTTAAGATTAAAAGACCTCCACTTTTTCAACATTGCCTGACTTAGAAATTATTGATTCAAGACCCTGTCTGGTGTCAAAAAAGTTATGGTGCATATCCCTTCTTTTATCTACACTGAACACTTTTCGATCACTTATGATGAGCCAAAAAGGCCTGAAAGAAGATGAGCCAAGGAAAGTAAAATTCAACCCTTTTATAAAATATTCTCCATGACTGAGAGAACCAAGCGAACAAGTACATTTAACTTTTCTTCTGTGCTGTTAAGTGCAAGGAAGATATCACCACATATCACCATATTCATTTTCTCAAGTCAAATTATTAGTTAAAAAAATCTAATAATTAAAATTCATCTACTTGGTCCAAAAYTCATTATCGAGATCTGTGCTCACACGTGTATGTATAAAGCACATGCACACTTACCCAAGATTCTCATCTTTGCTAATGGACATGCATATGTCTTGGAAACAAGCCATATTTCCCAGTATTCCCACACAGATTTCCTGAAGAGTTGAAACACGGTGTTATTCACAATTTGGTTTCCGATGTCACCACACAAAGTAAGTAGTGTTCAGAAATGCTTTCCAGTTTGATTTCTGAGACAATAAAATCTATCAACTTCAAGACAGAGACGCAGATCTTACAAATGTTTTTGTCAGACTGACTGCAAACACGAGAGAAGTTATTCAGGGATTTATCACAGTTAAGGAATTCTATACAAGAGAATAGACCTTAAAAGCAACTTTGCTTGCATTGTGACTGTGTGCCTCTATGTATATATGTATATTCACATGCACATACATATAAGCACACACATATGCTGTTTTAAAGCTAACCTGGCAACTCTACCATCAAAGTAGTAAAGTCTAAAGGAAAAGAAGAAAACCCAACATATAAATGCAACACTACTGTTCTGGATTTCTGTTGTACTTGCATATGGCCAAGTCCTGAACTCGCAAAAGATGCATCTCTAACTCATCCTCTCCTAAAGTAAATTTTCTAGTAACGTCAAAGAAAGCAGAAGTTATGCCAAAACTAAGCACCTTTGAGAAGTCTATCTTACATTTCTAACCACGAGTGAACTGTGACAAACAAGTTGCAAAACAACTATACCAACACTAAGAAAAAACAAGAAGAAAAGCTTTAAACAATTGTGTCTAACAATTCCTGATACTAAGATTATTTTTGCAGGCCTGATTTTAAAAATTCATAAACCTCTATTCAGTAACTACAAAGCAAACAATAAGAAAAAAAAAGAAGTCCAATCACTATTTTTTTTTTTATAGCAAGTCTTATTATGAAGTTTGGAACACTTAATCCTTTATGAACAGTGGCATACATCAACTTCAGCATTACTGAAACAGCTACTGATTAGAACACATTAGAGATACCAAGMAAAAACAAAACATAACAAAAACAGTTTAAGTATGGGAGAAATGGTGAAATGTTTTGTGAATGCATATACAGACTAGCTGCTTTTGCTGTTCATGTGGGACAGTTTTATGACCACCTGTACTTACAGTAAGGCGAGGACATTTTGACTTGGCAAAAACTCCCATGAATATATCGGGGGCATTGAACTCTTGCAGAAACAAAGCGACGTCCTGTGGAAGAACCAAGTGCAGAAGTAAATTGGACTAGATGATCTCTAGAGGTCCCTTCCAACCTTAAATATTCTGTGAAATTGCCTTTGATCATTTCTGAACACAAATCATGCCTTTTTATCACAGAAACAAGACTAGATCTAATAGATGTCAAACTTAGTACAAAACAGCGAGTATTTACCCACATTAACATCAATAACGTGCTCGACCACCACCCTCACCATTTGGTGAGGGAAGCTCAGCAAGCCCCTATGACTGAAATTGTCTGTGGCATGTTACGTGGTGAGCCCAACCACCAGCCAATTTCTCTGGCTTTCTGCTCACCAAGGGTCAAACGCAGAACTAGGGAAATACTTTTGGTCCACTTTCTTGGACCATAACTTAATCCAAACATATAAAAAGAAACAGGGAGGGGATCACCCCCAGCACTCACTCAGAGCATACAAAGAAGGAACATCTCAGGAAACTCATTCCACCTCGTGGCTTTCACGTCACAAGATTGGTTCTCTACCTGGGAGTGAAGGATTTATCTTCCATACTTACTTAAACTATCTAAACAAAGAACAGTATCTCTCTTATTTGAGAAGATAACATTGAGGGAAAAAAAAAAAAGCTCTTACTTTGCTTAATATTTGAAAGTGCCCAGAAAAAAAATCCAAAGGATCACATTAAACTGCCCGTAGGGATCTACAAGCAAAGTCTAGAAGTAGCTTACTCCTCAGAAACAACTACATTTACCAACAGGATGCATGCCGAGGAGAACGGGGCATGCCCTTTTAGGGACAAAAAGGCTACCTGCCTACGGCCGATCTCCTGCAGCTGAAAGCTCCACGCCCGGGGCGCCTTCGGCTCGCCGGGGCTGGCGGCCCCGCGCCCGGGGCGCCTTCATCCTCGGCCGGGACACCGCGTCCCAAGGGCCCAAGGCAGCGCCGGGCTCCAGGGCGCAGCGCGAGGAGCCGAGGCCGCGCGGGGCAGGGCTGGTGGCGGCTCCCGGGCCAGACCCCTGGCACCGTGTTTCGGTAGAACAGCCCGGTTTTGGGCACGTCGTCCCTACCTCGTCCATGGACATGTCCCACACTTTGCAGATGTCGTTCTCCATCTCCTCGTCCAGCTCCGTCTGCTCGGCGCTCGCGCCGGCCTCCCCCTGCTCGGGGCTGATGACCTGCGCAGACGGGGTCTATGAGCACCCCCCGCCGCCGTTATGGCCGTTACGACCGTTAACGGCCGTTGCGGCGGGCGCGCGCGGGGAGTCGCCGCCGTCCCCTCCCCCCCCCGCGGCGCACCTCGATGAGGCGCGTGAGGATGGTGAAGAGCCAGTGCTTGCTGTAGAGCGTGCCGCCCACCGCGTCGCCCTCCTCCTCCTCCTCGGCCTCGCTGCCGGGCGGCGACGGGTTGCGCTCCATGGCGCCCCGCCGCCAGGCCGCGCCGCCAAC